CCTGGATTAATTGACCTAAGTATTCAGCAGACAGGCCAAGATTGCACAATTCCTCTACACAGATACAGTGCTCACGAGTAGATATGCAGATACAGTGCTCATTGGTACGGTAGTTGTCTGAAAACAGCAGAGGCATCATGTCTGTAGACTCTAAATCCTGAGATTGGAATCCTATCCTAGCCTGAGCCTTAATACTTATTATCTTCAAGCCTCAAAATTGCATTGGGAGTGCATTTTGGGGTACCGAAGTCCAAAGGAAATGCAACCTGAATGACTTCAAAACACCTTAGGTTTGTATATGGGCCAAGTTGAATTCCAAATAATGAACACAAAATTGCCACAAAGGGAGGAAAAGAACCAACATCCAAAACCAGAGAAAAGTGTGTCTGGAATACCTTATCTGTTAACTGTTTAACTTTGATTTTTTACTTTCAACTAGTACGTTTAACCTTGTTTTTAAGCTGTTTTTAATTGTGCTTTAAATAACATTTTTATATTATGATTTTGTAAATTGTGCAGTCACTTAGGGGGGAGAGAGAGAGAGAGAGAGAGAGAGAGAGAGAGAGAGAGAGAGAGAGAGAGAGAGAGAGATCTGCTTTCGTCACTGATAAGTTACTGAATTGTCTTAAATAATAACAAGTCTTCGCTGTACTATCCTAGAATTCCTTAGAGGCAGTTTTGGACTCAAGCTCTATTTGAGAAACCAAAGCAGAAAATGTGTCCAAGTAGATAAGAAGAAATAAACTTCTGTCATAATGTTGCTCCACAGGAAACAAGCATTTGATAAACACGGCTTCATAATTTAGGAACACTTTTATTAAGCGCCATCAAACTTTTGACAAATCCTCTGTAAAGTTCACCTTGCTCCCTTCTCATACCAATTACAGCATTTCACAAATGTCTCAAATAGCTAGATCGCTGCAAAATTTAATCTTAAGGAATTGAGTTTTCTCCAGATAAATATTATCACAGATATCAAAAGCTCCTGGGAATTTTTATGCCTTCAAGTGAAAATCTCTCAAATCATGAGACAGGAGAGGCACTCTCTGTTGCAGTCTGCCATGCTTTTAGCTATTATAAACAGACGCCACACAAATCATCTGCCTTGTTTCACCGTGCAACATCTCCAGCTTCTGTCCTAAAAGAAAACCTTATTTATTTGACAAGAAGAATCTCACATTTTGGCATAAGTTGTCTTTCCAATGGTTGTTGTTTTCAACTAGTTATTTGCTTTTAGCTGATTTGTGCGTTGTCGAATAAGCAGGCTCCAGTCTAGTTTTCCTGAGTAAATTATTTTTGTTGCTCTTCGACACAACCAGTACAATTTGGATCCTACACAGGTGTCAGCTACCACACAGGCCCCCGAAGTGTTGATGAAGCTACCAGTTTTCTCCAAGTAAGCAAACAGGCCATGCTGGGGAAGCATTACAGGGGCAGAAGACTAAGCTAGTGATCTGCACCAATTAGCACATGGTTGCCGCCATTTTATTCCTTGCAATATTACTACAGCACAGCAATAGATAAATCTGATAGTGACTTGACAGTATTTTAGTCAATCTCCTCTGTTCATCCACAAGGACTATTTAATAATATAGGTGGCAGATTGTTAGATATTACAAGTGCCCTTGACAAAAATTAGATTTGCTCTCAGAATGCTCAGAGACATATTGACTATTGTCTTTCTACAGTCTGAGGTTGCATCAGTTATGATATCCTCACTCTGTCACGGAAGTCTGAAAATTATGGGAGCCATATGAGCAGAAACACAAATTGCATACATAACACAGTTTTCTTTCATTCTGTCCATTGACATTTTTAATCCCTTCCCCAATGTCTTGAAGCTCTATGCGTTTGCACTGAATTTTACTAGCACTGTCTGTGGAAATTAAGAAAGACTTAAAGGGATAAGCAGATAAACATGCCCCATATTTATGTGTGATTTTTGGAGACTGTGAAGGGGTGTGCTGTTGTGTGGCCTCTGGGCCATCTGGATGTGTTACATGAGAATGGGGCGTGCTTTTGCCCAGTTTTCTGAGGCTGCAGAAGCTGCGGAAGAGCATTCTCCAAAGTTGCTTCAAGAATGAAGGCCTAGTATGATTTGGATATGACAGCTGCAAGGGCCTCTCAATAGAAAGAGAGGACCGCCTGAAGTAAACGGTGCATGGTGGATCCCAGAGAATCCTGGGCTATGAGGGCAACTGCACCATTCCCCATGGCTAGCACACTTTGGGGAATGGCAGATAACAGAGGGGGAAATATGAAGAATAATTTTTAAAACCTCAGTTCCAAACTCTATGAACTTTGACGAGCTATTTAAAAAGTTAGCCACAATTAGAATTTGTAATACTTGACTGATCCAAAGATTGAAGGAGCTAGTAATACTTTTTAAAAAATGACAAGCAGTCACTTATGCAACTGAATGTATGTATGTATGTATGTATGTATGTATGTATGTATGTATGTATGTATGTATGTACAGTATGTACGTATGTATGTATATCCTGCCTTTATTATTTTTACAAATCACTCCAAATGGCAAACATATCCAACACACCTCCCTCCTCCTATGTCAAATATACTACAGAAATAAATGATTCCACCTGTTTTTAGTTTGCAGTTATGGATTCACTTATCTGGGAATGAATGAACTCAGTGAGATTTTATTTTCCCACTGTGGGTAGATATGTGTGGCTTTGCACTAATATATCTTAAATAAGCTAAATTCCAGTATTGTTTTTCAAAGCACAATTGCAAAATGAAGGAAAACAGGCAACATTTAACGGAGGCACAACCTGCCATCTCAATAGTCTGGCAGCACATTTCTGATGCACTGGAAGTGCTTGAAATTCAAACTCCTTTTCACAACATTTGAACGAACACTTCTTTGTAATAATCTAAAATGCAGACGTAAATAATCTTTATTCACTTCATCAGAAGACTCAGCGCTTGGAATACGTAGTGATTACATATGAGAGATTGGTTTTCTACATGTTCTAAGAAAATATCAGAAAGTGCAGGTTCCACACGTTATATATTTAGGAGAATTAGGATAGCAGAAGAATGTTTAATTTTGAAGGATTTGCTAGAAGAAAAAAATCGTGTCTCCTCTCAGCATATAAGGCATGTAAATTTGGCAGAACCTGTAAAGGGATAAGTTTAAGGAACCAAACAAAAACTAATGGGACTTGCAATGTGGATTTCTAATAAAAACCTTTAATGTTTTCAATAAGGGCATGGGAAACTGGCTTGCCTTAGCTCTCCATGTTAGCCAAGGTACAAATCAAAAATAAAATTAAAAATACTAATTATCCTTCAAAATGCTAGAAGCATTGTACAGTCAACATATAAATCTTGGTCTTTGCCGGATGCATCTTCCGGTGCAGGAAATGTCACGGGGGACAAAGTAAGACTGTTCTCAGTATAAGTTGAAGGGGACTGCAAAACGTGAACTTTTTTTGTGTAGAAGCAAAAAAAAAAAAGGTTAATGATAACCTTTGCTCTGCTTTGTTTCCAGGCTTCTGGAACATAAGGGGAAAAGCTGGTCTAAACTTGTTGTTTATACTCTTACGATTTCCCCTGTTGTCATGAAGTCTTTTCCTAACTTCCTGCTCATTTTCTCAGGGGCCATCGCGAAAGGTACAGGAACCCAGCTTTTGTAAAGAAGCAGGAAGCAAAGGAAAAACTGAAGGCATGGAATGTGCCATAAAACATTGTCAGAAAGACAGGAAGGACGGATTACTTGGGAAGCTGTTTTTGGGAGACCCATCTTAGTATAATGATTCTGAACCATAGTAGCTGTCCCCTATCAGATAACAGAGCTGAGCATTCATAATCTGTGCCACACTAGGGGAAAACAAGCTGGAGGACTTACTACACAGGCTCAGATTTGCTTCAAAATTCAAAATATTTGTAGAGGAACTAGGTCAGGTTTCCATGACACAGTAACCTCTACATAGGTTAAATTCCAACTCTGCAACATTCCAGGAGATCAGCAAGATGGGGAAAGCCTCAGTTTTCTACAATGCAAATCACTATAATTCCCACAGATTTGGTCTGTATCCCAGCCCATCCTAAAGATTTGTGGGGGGCAAATGTTTCTGTGAGAATGCAGTCCTGCAAGCAACATCTACTACTTCTGTGTGTGGATTAGGCAGGCCGAATATTTCATACCCAAAATTCCATTCTAAGCAGATTTCCTGGAAAGCAAATTGGCCTGGAGGAAGTGGATCTATCACAGTTCATGGATTGACATGGCTACTAGTCATCATTCTGAAGAATTACTCTCTCTTTCCCTCTTCCTGGTGTTCCTATTCATTCCTATTATCTATAGGATAATGCCAGCATCTCTGGAATTAAATCTTTGTATCTTGCTATTTCCTCAGGCATATAATAATAGCAATAGCAATAGCATTTATACTAATATACCACCCCATAGGTTGAGAGTTCAATCCTAGGTAGCAGCAGATATTTCTTAGTGCACACACACATAAAAAAAAAATCTGTTGCAAACTCCACATAGGTGTCAGGAAGGGCATCCAGCCAATAAACGATCAGTGTTTTACAGCATTCCCTGGGCAACTTACAATGTAAGCATTATTTGCATATTGCCCCCAACAATCTGGATCCTCATTTTACCAACCTCGGAAGGATGGAAGGCTGAGTCAAACCAGAGCCCCATAAGGATCTAACTCTAGATTGTGGGCAGGTTTAGCCTGCAGTACTGCACTTTAATAACTGTGTAAGGGCTCTTACTATAACATGATAATAGTTGTGTTGTCTTCTCAGGCAAAGTTGTTTGAAGTATCCCTTCTCCAAAGTAAAGCAGCCTTATCAATCTTGTCCACAAAAGTTGGGTTCCACCTTATAACTCAGAATTATGAACCAAACCAACAAAATACTGTGGTGGATTATGAGAGTTGAAGTCCAAGACAGTTAGAAGGCAATAGATTTGGGAAGATAGTGATATTTAAGACTAAGACACAGAATGATTTCCTCCATACCTCTCTTTCATGGTGGCCAGACTCTTCTGAACTCCTAACGTTGAGGACGTGAACTTCTTGTGGCAATCCAGTAGTTCCTTTGCTTGCACAGCCAGATAAGACAGTAAAACTTTCTAGCAAGGCTTGGACAGGATGTGAACTGTTGACCTGAGACAATAGACAGCCACTCCTAGGCACAGGACCTGTAGAATAAATGGGAAGGAAGATTAATTTGAGGTGAAAGGCTGTAGCAAAACCTGAATTAGAGCAAAGTCTGAGCTATCTCACCAGCTGCTTGGTATAACCGTCTGTTATCACACAAATTACATAAGGTACCAAGTTGATAGCATACCAATTGCAAATGGAAGGGAAGGGATTAAGATGGGTACAAGAGGAAATTCTATGCATACTTCTTATTCACTGAAATTTATTGAAAGGTTCAGTGCCCTGATTTCTGCCTAAGGATGTAATCCTACCTATATTATACCGAGAATATGATCTGTTGAAAGCAATGAAATCAAGCTTAGAATAAGCCAGTTTCGGATTAGGATGTAACCCAAAGCGCCTTCTTGGAAGTAAAACTATGGTAGTCATCTATCTTATTTTTTCTGCAAGAAGTAAACATTAAAGTGAAAAATCTGTGGAATTATACCTCAACCCTAAACTGATGAAGAGTGTGTGATTGGAATTTATATATAGGATTATAGACTTAGACTCACTTGAGTTACTTTGGACTGCATCCAAATCTTATAACTATAGCCTTCTACAATGTGGTCTTCCAAGGTAGTTAATTAGTCATTCAATTGTTCCTGGAAACAAACCAGCAACTAATGCAGTTCCTACAGTTCCAGTGTTACCCAGCAATAACAGATTATCCCTGTTAGTATACTGAATATTGCATTATGTATTAGTTGTAGATCCTGGATAGTCTTCAAGGGCAGTCCTTTGTAGCCCAGTGTGAGGTGACAAGGGTTTGAAAGACTGTAGCCAATGTCTGTTGTTAAATAAATGACCAAGGTGCACCAGCCAAAGCAAACGTACCATACTAACATAATAAAGTAATATCTCAAAGCATGCTGTGTGTAGGATAGATAGGCGAAATGCAAGGTGGTTTTTTTTTTAAAGGAGAATAAGGTAAAGATGCATTTGTCAAATCTGCAAATTGGGGAAAAACAAGTGTCCTTATATGTTCACTGCACTTTTTTTGTTGATGTTGCATTCAACTGAAATGCAACTATTACTAATCTGAGTTGGCTAAACACTGATAAGGTTTACCTTGACTGAATACCCATGTACTGAATCTAAAAGCAATTACCTTAGCTAATAACCACACTCTTTAGCCCAAGAAACAGTGTGTGTCCTTCCAAATATCCCCTTCCAGCATAGTCTTGCACTCTTTTTTTTTAAGGCATTATCTTATGAGACAAAAATACAGTAGGAGAGCTGAAGGGCACAAAAGAGTTTTACACCTTAAATATATCTGCAGGAAGCTAAAACGAGGCAAATATTTATAGAAAATGAACCTGGCTTCTCCCAATCTATATAGAAACCCACACTGCATTGCAAAACTCATTGAAAAAATGCCATGATTTTAGCTACTCCTTTCACACATTCTAACTCCAATTTGGAATTCATTCAGCATAGCTGAACCTTATTAATCTTAAATGGTAACTTTGGACTTTTCTTCTCTTCAGAAAAATCTACTTACTGGAGATTATTATTTACAGAGATCCTACTACATTTACTATTTCTAATAGGAACTTGTTATTTGACGTTTCTCAGCTTCCTGAACCATCTACAAGCACCAGAACAAAGTCGGTTAGTTTAAAGAGGCAGGCAATAGTTAATTTCTTGCTCCATTGTTTGAGGAGCAGCTGGTTTTGCTGTAGTTTTCTATGGTTAAGGAATTTACAGAAGTTAATTATTGCTGCATTCTTTAATGCAACCACCTACTTTGAAAACACATTTATAATTTCTCACGTTATTGTACATTGCCATGGGCACTATTCTCAGAAATGGCCTTTTCAAAATCTCACGCATCAAGAAATATGAAAATGAGCCAGTTTCTCCCAGACTTATATGGAGATGACAGGAATGAATTTTCACTACAAAGCCGATGCTCCACCACTGAGTAAAGACACTGAGTTCTAACCTTCTTGCTACAATAAAATGGTTACAAACTGCCTTACTCAGCTTGGCATCTATTGATCCTTTCATTGAAGAGGTTTTTTTTCTCTCTCAAATGTTGTCATACTTAGCATCAACAAAATATAAAAAAATGGTTTTAAAAACTTAAGTATCTATAGGTAGGGTTTATCCCACATCTCAAAGGCATATTCCTTCACATTTCCACCATCATAGCTTATCTTACAAGCATCTGGACTCAAACGTGGTTTGTCCAGCATGCATCTGAATGGAACAAAAATAAAATAGGTACTTTATGCCCCAAACTATGGATATGGACCCCGAGGGCCTTCTTTGCTGCAGTCCTTCTGACTCCTTAGAGCAAAGATCATTTTTGGAGTCCATTCTGCTTGCCATACTCCATCTTAATAATAAATGGCTCAGGGTGTTATTAAATAAACAGGAGAAAATTCCCAGTAAGCTCAAAGGGAGAATGTTAAGATGTTGCAAATGACGAAGATGTTGGAAGGGCAAGTTTTCTCAAGCAACTGGGGTCATAAGGTCGAGGGAAAGATACTCTTCCCCGATATAGTCCAAAAAATGCACTTAAAAAAAAACTTTCTCCCATAGATATGAATGGCTGTCATTCATTCTTTTGCCAAGTCTAGATTATTATATTTTTTTTTCTGTTTTAAAAAACACTTGGCTAGCCTGTTGTTTGATTATTGGTCTCCTGGTTACACTGACCTCTCTTTTTCTTCTTGAAAATTCCACTACTTACAGCACCATCATACTGATGACTATTCAGTTAATTTTCTAATAAGTACAAAAAGAAGTCAGCCTTAATGGGACACGATTTTCATGTATTTGTAATCATTGTTTTAATTCTTTTTTTCCCCCTCCTCCTCTACCATAAGCCCACCACAGTATTCTCTTGGGAATGGAAAAATTATGACTTAAATCTTCCAACTAAGTTCCAGGAGGATGAAGAAGATGAACTATCTGTGAGAGGGAGCAACTATATTACTTGCCCTCAGTAAAAACAGAACTTTTTGTGTCCTTTTGGGTGCGTAAGAAATTATACTGGCAGAACTCAGAGACACATTGTGCTCACATTTTACTGTGACATCAGTGAGGCCTATTTCCTGGTTCTCTGCCTTCTGAAGATGGCGTTTTATTTGTCTGGCAATGTATCTTCTGTGACCTCCCTAAGAAATCTGCCTGATGTCAACTTTGTCATCATAGCACTAGAGAAATACTTTTGGCTGTACTTAAACTTTTTTTTCCAAAGGATTCCATGGCTATGATCTTAATGTTTTCTACAGGACACTACAAATATATCTTCATTTTACTTGCTGGCATCCCTTTTTAAACAAAACACACTTAAACCTTCGTTATTTTCTTTTATTATTGCATGGTGCTCATTTTATCTGAAGGTTAACAGAGATATAAGTAATTGGAGGAAAATTTAGTTTCTTAATTAATTAATTTAGAGGGATTTCCCTCTGTCTATATTTGAACTCAGAGCAAAGCATGCTTAATTTTTGTCCCAATCAATGGTATATAACCCATTATTAATGTCTTTCTTACACCAGATATATTTTTGTTATTTTGGGGGGGTGGAGTAGATTGGGCAAAAAAAAATGTTGCAAGCGCATTTTAAAGAACAGGAGCTGATTGTACAGTGGTACCTCAGTACTCAACTGCTTTGAAACTCATCGAATTTGGAACTCAACACATTTTAACGAGGAAATTTTGTCCTGGCACTTGTTGTTTGTTTGTTTGGTACTCAACGCGCGAGCTAGAAGTTGTGGGTGTCGGTTGTCTCGTGACTCACTACCCTTTCCAGCCAAAATAAAGGAGAAAGCTTCAGTCATGAGGCAGCTCTTGCCCTGTGCACATCTCCTGGCAGTCTTATCTCATTTTGTGTATTTTTGCACTTTTTTCTCATAAGAACAGGTAAGGTTTTTATTTCATTTAATCTAAGTATATATTAATTTTTAGGTTTTTCTCATGTAATGATATACAACCCTATCTTTTAACATATTGTCTTAAAAATGTGCAGTGTTTTTGGTTTGGGAATGCATTAAATTTATTTACATTATTCCTCAGGGGGAAAAATTGTTTTGGTATTCATCATTTTTGGTACCCAT